CAAAGTTTGCATATTCAGGCTGTGCTAGTAGATGTTGCAGTAGTGCATTTAAAACTAGGAATATGAAGCTTTTTACTTTTCAAGGAAAAGTAACACAGGGTAAATGTATCCAGAGTAGCAGTATGTTTGCAATAATACAGCAATCCTTTAGAAAGTTTGCAGTCAGAACAGGTGATTTGGATTAAAAGCTCTCAATTTAATTTGTTTTGGTAAACTTGTTCAATGTTTTCTACTTACAGATAAAGTAGTGAGGTTGCCTTCAGCTTTGCCTCCTGTTCTGCAACAGGGTTTGCCCCCTAAGACATGTGTTGAACAGAGTGTCAAGGGAAAGCTACTCCCTTTAAACAATTGATATTAGGAGTACAGTTTTGACTGTAATAAGAATGAGCAGAAGAAACGTGTTTCTAAGTTCAAGTTATAGTTGAAAATGGTTATGTAAATCATTCCTCAAATTAAAGCATAGCTATCCATGTAGGAAGGGAACAGCCAATTATTTTACAACGAATGTTGGGGACAGATCTTTGTAATATTGTAGTTGCTTCTCTTCTTTTTCATCATCATAATGTTTATTCAGCTTCATCATCATTTTAATACCTAAGAGGATAGTTGTGACCTGGACCTCCTGTTCCAACAAAGTTGTTCCAACAAATAACAAAAGGGCAACTCCATCCCTTCTACATATAAATTATCTAAGAACAACTGAGAGACAGCTATAGAAACAGCCATAGAAAGCAAGGGTACAAGGGAACTGTGACTCACAACATTAAAAGGCTTCCCTTGGGGAAGGAAGCTCGCTTTTGGGGCTTCAAGGAATTTTGTTCAACATTAAAGAGATTTCGTTTTACACTGCATTGCGTGTTAGACATTATAGGAATGAAAGAATTTATTTTACTATTTGTTTACAGAGTGAAACAAACATAAAAAACGTCTTAGGTGAAATTCTAGCCTCACTGACAAAATTCCCGCTGACTTTATTAATACTAAGATTTTAGTCCTAACTCGCAACCAGCATATGCTGTGTGACTGCAGAGAACACCCCAGAGCTGTCTCATAAAGCCTCATAAAGTGGTCTCTGGTGTTGAAACTCCCCGTGTAGAAGCACTGGCCTGTTCCCTGTATTCAGTCTGCTTGACAATTTTCAAGTGAAATGTAGTTTTGAAGTGTAGTTTTGCAGGGAGCAGTGCAGAGAGCACAGTCGGACAGCTTTCTAGGAAAATAGTCTTTGGCTGAGGAAAGAAAAATAAATTGGCCAAAGGATGTTCACTTTAAGTTGCCAGTGGAAGTGTGGTGAGACACTTTAACTCTATCGCAGCTCAGTTAGTTAGACCCAGTTGAGGAGTGCGGAGGGTTTACATGCTGGACCAAATCAGTGATCTGGAGAGTTTGGGGGGGATCTTTATACTGGGTGGAAGGAAGGTGACTGCTTCCCCAACTACTAATGACCTAGCAAATGAAGATTTGCTATCCCTAGGGAGAGAATGAGCATAGTTTGGCACTGGGAGTTTGCATGATTAGCATTTGAGAATGAGTCACCTCCTCAGATCTTGACCCACTGAGTATGCAAATCTTTCTCGTTTTTCCCTTTTGCAATTTTGTGTTCATGTCAGGCAGCTTTCTCTAACATGTTTAATAGAAACACTGGATTGGCCATCATTTCAGAGTTTATAGTTTTGTTTATGACACTGGTTTTTTAAACTCTTCGCTAATTACCTTGAGATTTTTGATTTCTCCTCATACAGAAACTGCCCCCTTTGGCTTTCAAGTTACTTCAGTTTCTCTTTCTAGGATATTTTTCTATTTCTTTATATGCTATTTACCTATGTACAACAATGAAGCCTCATGGGCTCAAAAATCTAAATGTCTTTGCTCTGTTCTCTTACATGCCCAAAACAGGGGACTGAACTGGGATACAAATTAATATAAGTGTGGACTCAGGATCAGGCTTCTTTTGAAAGGGGTCAACTAATGGTACAGTCTCTTACAGTTTAGAAGATTTTAGGTCATTATGAGATAGTAATTTTTCTGCTTCAGCTTATATTAATTATTTGTCTTTTCTTGTGGGGGTGATCTAGGGCTAGTCCTAGAGGGGCTGAGACCACCTTTTCTTCTAGGAAAATAAAATAAAATAAGGAAGGTGAAGCACTTCATCTTCTCTCATGAAATACAAATGATTTACATAGCAGTAGTGGACTCTATACAAAGGCTTTTCACCAGCCTGCTAATGAAGGAATGGAGAAAATTAAAAGATGCTGCATATGGTCCCCTCCCCCTTATTTCTTATTCAGTGGTTATTTTCTTTCTCTTTCTCTCTTTTTTTACATTTGCCAAAAATTTCGTATGTCCAAAGAGTGGTCAAGAATGAATAGACAATGGAAAGCAGAGCACACTGTGTATCACAGTAATGCTTACCTGCCAAACCCACAACTTTTTAACTGAGTTTCAAACAACTCCCTGAAACTTTACCAAGCAAATGCTGCAGATGATTCCTGAGAACCAGAAAATGAAGCTGAGGAGAAATGAAAGTGGACTGGCAATGCCCTCACTGTCCAAGGCAGGGGCTGTGCCTAGTTTAGAGAGGGCATTAATAGTAAAAACCTGATCCAGTCTTCGCATTTCTTTCAAACACCTAACATACTATTTTGCAAGGCAATTTAGTATGTGAAAATATGCTAGATGGAAATCAGGAGCTCGGTGCTATTTGTGCAAATACAGTACACATTTAGATTATTGTGGGACTGCAGCCAGGTCGCTTGGGACCAAGCACGCAAACCTCATGTTCAGCCTCCTGGCAGGGAGCACTCGTGCCAGAAGCATGATTAATCCCAGCAAAGGAGGGTGTTTATGGGGTGTCACAGTCCTGGCGGAGCTGCCCCTTATGGATGCACACCAGGCAGCTGTGTTTGGACCCACACGCTGGATCCATGTGCACCCCTATTCCCCTGGGCCTGGGCAGGCTCCAAACACTGACTGTGCCCCTGGCCTCTCAGGCACACTTCCCAGGCACACTTTTATGCTTGTACCTACTGTTGCCCCCTCTTTAAGCCTTCTTTTTGGGACCACTGATGTACCACCGAGATTATAAAGGGTTATTTGTACGCTGGCCACATGCAGCTAATTGGCTTAACGTCAGAGATACAAAGCAGAACAAATGTCTGTAAACAGTTTTCTTCTTCTTGGGCCCTGGAGCTTTTCCTGGGTTTTGGATGGTGCCATAGCAGCCCCAGGTCCCCTCTCTTGTACCCTAGTGCTCCAGCCTTCTCTTCCCAAGTTATAGACTTATCTCTAACTCCTCTGAGAAACTCCCTTCATTTTTCAGAGCTGAAGTCAAAGTATTCCCTGGCTTGAAGACCATTCCTTCTTAGCATGCTTCTTCCTAACAATTCTCTGTTTTGTCCTTTTACTGGCAATTTGCTTTGACTTTTTTCTGGAGCCTTTTACAAACAGGTGTAAAGTAAATCTGCTCTGCTTCAAGCACCATCCATCTTACTTTCCCTGATGTGGTTCCACTTGAATGGAAGATCATTTGCATTAAGGGTTCATATTGATCTCTCTTGCACTTTTTCAGCTTTAATCTCACCCACTCCATATTGTCAAAGGCTTGGTTCAATGATATAGCAATTTCATACAATTTACTCAATTTTTGTCCTTTTCACTTAGAGAAATTTCACAAACTACCAGACAGAGTCAGGGCATGAATTACTGTCCTAGTCCATGATTTGTGGTCAGTCTTTTCACTCTGCAGGTTTGCAAAATTAAAACTATGAATTCAGTGTTAGAAATCATTATTAGCTCATAGAACTGAAAATATTTGTGATGTGGAGCACCTTATCCTTTGATAAGTTTATTTCTGACTTTGCCTCTTATTTTGTACCTCAGAGAGCATACTCTTTATTTCATAGCCACTCAAGATTTATGAGTTTGGGTCTGTGTTTAAAAAGCAGCGATGAGCTGAGTAGGCAATTTTACCACATTCTGTTCCTGCCTTTCTACCTACAATTCACTAAAACTGTCCTGCACTGAAACAGTCCACTCAAGGTATTCAAAATGCAGATCTAATTCCAGGATCTAGAGCCTACTTGGGTATCACTCAAACACTAAAATATACTAGAATTTGTGTGTACTTGTAACATAACAGTGAGATATTCTTTATCTGGAGCTCCAGTGGTGCAGTAGGTTCTATTGCTGATATCTCCATTATTGCTGAGGCAAGCCTATTTGCTGTGGAGAAAACAGTGGAGTTAGTTACAAATCAAGCATGTAAGTGAGCAGCAAAAGCATATAAAGGAGACTGTTTAAGTTCACTTGTCATGTTCCTACTGTTAGAGGACAACTTAAGAAGTCAAATTGGCTCTTCTTACAGAGCTGTTATCTTTTTATTCCGGGCAGGGAGCAATGTCAGCTCCCATGCAGAATAAAATGATGAAACTCATACCACACCTGGAAACTATCCATAGTCTTTGCCTTTGTGGAATCCCTTTTCTTCACCTTGTGGCCTCAAATATGAAAAGCTGCCACACACACTCTCTCTGGCTATAGATACTCCTGAGATCCTATTTGAAATGTGTTGGGGTTTTGCGGGGTATATAATACCTGTGCTGAATTATTCTTCCCTGTGTGCCTCTACTTTACTTTAACTTCCATCTGAGTCCCAGCCAATGTTTCACTCCTCTCCACACATGGATCTCATCAACACGGAAGGGAAAATAGTAGGAGAATGCCTGTTCAGGGAAGGGCTTTTCCAGAAAAAAGGGAGAGATCTGAATACTTGGCTTCCTCTGATGATGTGGGTGGGAATTCTGCCCAGTGTTAGGGCAAATCCTGCTAGATCCTGTACATGCTGCCCCACAGTTTCCTGAATTCAAGAGCTCTCTGCCTAGGTTACATATCTGATTTGTTATGATAGTGTATTTGTGACTTAAGATACTTGCTTCTTGTGTTCTTGCACTGTGATCACTATTTGTTTTTTCTGTTCTATTGCTAAGGATATTTTCTTTTGTCAGGTTTGGGATGAAACTCTCGCCAAATCTGCAGAGGCCTGGGCTGCTACATGCATTTGGGACCATGGACCTTCCTACTTACTGAGATTCTTGGGCCAGAACCTGTCTGTAAGAACTGGAAGGTAGGCAGATACCTTACAAAACAGTTATTTTGTCAGCCTTCGAACAGCCTTTGAGATCCAAATCTTAGACTGATGCAAGTGTCATCCAGTATTCTAGCAATAATTGATAACCATCTATGTTCATTTGGCTTAAGAGTATTATTGCTTAATACTGTGTCCCTAGTGATGCATGGAGAAATGACTATTTAGGTGACTTGCATCAGAGGGATGAGCAGCAGAAAGTTCCAAAATACCTAAATCTAAAATGACATGTTTTTCTTTCTGTCTTTTAAACAAACCCAGGTATCGATCTATTCTCCAGCTGGTAAAGCCGTGGTACGATGAGGTGAAGGATTATGCTTTCCCTTATCCTCAGGATTGCAACCCCAGGTGCCCCATGCGATGTTATGGACCCATGTGCACCCATTACACACAGGTTATATAAATTCCATTCTTCTATTCAAAATCTACCGTCCAAAGCTGGACTTTTCTGTGATGTATTTATAGCTCTCTCTCACATAAATGTATATATATATATATTTCTTTTCAATTTGGACTTCACCAATAATAAATATTTATTCAGATGGTTTGGGCCACTTCCAATCGTATAGGCTGCGCAATCCACACATGCCACAATATGAACGTCTGGGGATCTGTTTGGCGACGAGCAGTTTACTTGGTATGCAACTATGCCCCAAAGTGAGTTGCTTTCTTTTAATATTGTTTATTTTTATACTTCATGCATGTTTTCGTCCTCCTTTTTCTGCAGCTTGACCTCTATTTGTGCTTTTTCTGTGGGCTGCTCCTTCATTCTAACTTTATATCTGAACATACAGAAAATGCATGACTTTTTGGTATACAAGGAAGAAAAGGAAATAACTTGATGTGTATGGAACAAACCCAAACACTTGTTTTCTGTTATTGTTGATATTATTATTATAATTCTTTTTGTCTTCCTCCTTTGTGCTGACTCCGCTTTACTTTCAATTCCTTATTTCTTCACTCTGTTTTATATACTCATGGTGAGCTAGACTTCCTCAGGTAAGCAATCCTACTGTAGATCAGGCCCTTGATTTACTGTGAACACATGTTGTTGCCCACAAGATACCTTTGCTCGTTACGAGCTATGCATCCATAGCATAGGTTTCCTACAAAGTCTATCTACCTGAGCTCAGTGTCTACAAATCTCATCTTCCCTTCCATATTAGGGTCCTTCAAAGTATAGGTCATAGACACCCATAGGTGGCCCTATACCAAGTAGCTGTGCAGAGATCTGTGTTAGGTTGAAATGGAGAAATGAATTTTCTCCCAGCATTTCCTAGACATCATCCCAAGTTACATCTGGGTGCAGAATGAATCAATAAAATGTGGCTCTGGAAGAGCTTCGATTTGAGGTCTGGTTTGGACCAGTGCTTCAAAAGCAGCATGGACAGTGTAAATGGCTGGTTTCTCTGACTGTATAATATTAGGAAAAGCCATAGTTCTGTATAGGAATCTAAGTATAATTAATTGAGCATGTTTTCCATAAACTCTCAGTGGCACAGGTCCATTTGTGGTAAAGAATATGCAAGAATATGTCATCATTCTAGTTGTTACATGAGTAAAAGAATTTTTAAAGATTTTGCAACTTAAAAAAGATAGGATTTAGTAAGAAAACTGACTTGGGAAAAAACACTTTTGGAAATCAAGATTTCTCTGTCCTTTTGTCTTTAATATCTACCAGAAAAGGGTGGTAAGAAATGAATGTGAGGGAGCAAAAAACAGGCAGCAAAAATTGTATCTGACTTCTAGCTCCACAACATGAACAAAGTGGAATTAAAGTTTATAAGAGAAACCCAAATATTTTGTTTTATGTATCTTCATTTGAAAAAAAATATTAAAAATTACAAACTTCCTAGAATGCATCTCTGAAGGAGAAGGGGGTGAATATTACAGCCACAACTTGAGTTATGAAGTTTGGAATTTGGCAAAGATTTAGGATTTAGAACTCCAATAATTTCCACTGATGCCATGCTGTGATGCTGAAAAATATCTATGCTTCTGAAATCAGGAAAAAAAAAGTTAAGGAGGATAATTACAAAGTTTAGAAAGGTCCTGCACCTGGTTACCTAACGGACTCACACAAATCAGCCACGTGTTGCATAGAAAATGAAGGAGGAGTCAGCTTTCAGCAAACTCTTTCTGGATTTCCATATCTGTTATCAAACTAAATATATTTCCTGAGCACTCAGTCTGCTGTACCCATTTGGAAGAGAAGTAGGAATGAGGAAATTATTTGAGAGATTCCTACTTTCTTCCAAGGCACAACCCAGACCAGGGCTTTTGATCCAATGTTATTGGCTGGGGGGGGGGGGGTGAGAAAATGTTTCATAAATAATTGCATTACTCACTGCTATACCGCATCACATGCGAACTAGAGGAAAGTTCTTTGCTTAGTGAGACATAACATTTAAATAAAAATCTAATTTTAACTTACTTTCTGCCTACATCACGAGTGTTACATGAATCTCAAAAAGCCTGGCGTTTATAAAAGCACCTAAAAGTCTGGATGCATTTTTCAGATGTTCCTAGATCTTTCAGAGTTACCTCTTTTCACATGATTACTCTCCAGACTTGTACCCCTTTCCCCCCGGGCTCTATTACCCAGCTCTGTTCACCAGATGGGAGCCCTCCTCCTCCTCCCATTAACATCTATGAGACCCCTACAAATGCCCAAATACAGTTCTTTTTAATACATTACTGGTGGAATAGTTTTCATCTTCCCTTTTCTCTAACCACAGGTAGTGCAACCTAACAACAAGATTTCGCTCAGTTTGTTTTTTCACATTCCAAAAACAAGCTTTTAAGATAATGGCCAGACAAAAAAGTGTTCACCTTGCACCAATGCTTATGTTGCTAATTTCTCATAAATATAGCCCTCCTGTAAAAAATACTCTGTCCCAGGCTTGGAGAGTCAAGAATCACATGGTTGTAGCAAAAGCAAAAGACTGGGACTTCACCACAGAGACTAAAGGATATGGAATGGACCACTGGCCTGGGGTGACATGGTCATTTTCCCGCTGTTTTTTGGGAATCAGTAGATTAATGTTTGTCAGTAACCTACAGAAATAGATTAATGTATGTTTTCAGTAACAGGGCATTTATAGGATATCACTGAAGACATTAACTTTAATCACTCAGAACGAGTATGGTTAATGATTTTTTTTTCTTCTTCACTGAAATTACTAAGCATTCTTTTTCCTTTTTTATTTTCAGGGGGAATTGGATTGGAGAAGCACCATATAAAGTTGGAGTCCCATGTTCAGCTTGTCCTCCAAGCTATGGAGGTTCTTGTACCGACAATCTTTGTTTCCCAGGAGTAACATCAAACTACTTATACTGGTTTAAATAAGTTAAGGTTTACATTATTTTTTAAAAAAAAAGAACATGGATGAGTAACAAGAAGCTTGTATATTGAATTTTGCACATATTATATAGAGAGAGATATTGTAATAATACTCTGATGTTTTCTTTTTGTATGCTTTTGTATAATTAGCTTTCAAAGTATAGTATAATTTGGTTTTAACACTTTGGGATTTAAGACTCACATTAACCCTCTTAGATTAACATTTTGTTAAAGGAGAGCAAACTAATTTTCACCATAGCAAGTGTAGCTTCCTGAAGATTAAGGTCTATTAAAAGCACATTAAAAGATAGAATATGACTTCCTTTTAAAAATAATAGCTCCAGAAAGAGAAGGGTCATTGTTTAATACTGTGCTTTAAAAATGGAATGTGACATAGAAAGCAACAAATTGTCCTCACGATCCCGGTGGTTCCTCCCATTTACACCTCTGCTTTCACCTGCAATGTCAATGGGACTCTGAGCAGAGGAAAACATGTGCAAGAGAAACTGCAGGATCTTACCTACCTCATGCACAACATCAGTTCATTTATGGCGTTCCAAGAGTTCAGCACACAGCTGCTGCTATCATCAACAATGCCTGTGTGCAGACAGAAAAATTAGAGAGAATGAGGAACCACACTGGACAAGATGCAGTGGCTGTTAACTCACATGTCTAAAGTCTTAACTAGATAGAAAGCTACATCACTTTAAATATACTGGTATAATAACACAGCCTAAGTCTACCTTCCTGTGTTTCTGAATAGTCATAATGGTGTAATGGTGCTTTGCAGCAGTGTATTTATTCTCGCACAGGAAGATAAAGAAATATATTGCTACAAAGCAACAGGTATCAATACAAGACATCCATACTGTCTTTTACACTATAAGTTTGCCAGTATATGTGCTGTCCCCTTGACTGAAACAGCCAGGTGAAACTTTCAAGGAGAGATCAGACATAAAAGTAGATAAGAGGATTTCCAAATAAAAGACATCAGGCAACTTTAAAACTTCATAGAGATTTGTGACAAAAATTTCAAATTTCTAAAGCAATTGGCAGTGTCCTTTAAAATATATTGCACTATTTCCTGAAAATATCTGTATGAATTAAAAAAAACGCAAATCTGTTTATTCATACCTTTCCAGCCAAAACCTGCACGCGTTATGGGTGCTTACTAGAACATTTATAAAGAGGACCTACACTTTAAGCTAGAATATTATACAAGTAGTTTTCTTGAAAAACAGATTATAAAAAGGAGGAAATCGAATGTCTGCCGCAACTGCTCTGTCATTGAAATAGCCTTGAGTTTTGGCTTTATATTACAGGGCAGAATGTACTCCACTTTAAATATACATGTTTAGTCTGCTTGCACTGCTACATTTAGACCTCTGAAATTTATGAACTTTGAAAAGCAATCCTGAGTAGAGCAAGCAGAACAACAGAGGGTAATTTCACTAGCGCTACATATGTATGTGTCTTTAAGTCATTAATTCAGTCCTTTTGAGGGTGTTTGAGACAGTCTGTCACTAGAATATGAAGTATCACATTGGTGATGTAAAAAGAAAGATCGGAGTTTGAATTCTTCACGTTAGTTATTCTTTTTCTCCAGCAAGATAGCTGTGTGTGGGGAATGGGCTCTACAGCACATGAAACATAACAGCCCCTCTCCACCTGTCCAATAATCTGATCCCTCAGAAAACGTCAGCAACTGATCTGTGGCTCTTCAGACATTTCTGGTTAGTGACACTTCTGCATCTGACAGGACAATAACTAGACAAGTATATTGTCTTAAAATGTGTCCATGTTTTAAAAGAACAATACTTGTAATATTCTACTAACTTTTATTCTAACAGTTACAATATAAATGGTTTTCCTTTTGGTTTCAAAGGGGCTTGGACTTGGACAGTGCTCAATCAGCCAAACACTTTGGCTGAGTAAAATCCAGTCCTGTTTTGGGAGTGAAACACAACCTCTTTGCATCACCTATGTACACACTGAAAGAATTCAGTGAGACAATACTAGGTGGGTCACTAGCGCTCAGCCAGCCCAGTTTTTGACAAAGATGCATGGGACAAATACATTTTTGTTCTGCATAAGGAAACTTCTCTAGAGGTAAAGACAGCACAGTTAAAACAGTACATCTAGCCTTTTTCAATATTTTTATTGTGTTTTTTTTAATACAAGATAGGAAGCAGAGCATAAGCAAAAGTTCAGGTTAAGCCATGGAGCCTACAACAGTAGGTCTAACAATAAATGACTATGCACTTTGGAACTTGCAACTTGTATGTTGTATGGTACACTTTCCAAACAGGACTAGACATTGTAATTTAATTTATAATTCTGTAATTCAGCTGAAATTATTATAACGGGTATATATGTTATCGTATCTGTTACTTTTTAAGTTGCTACAAATATCTTGATTTTGTGGAATATTTTGTTTTCTGTGGATATAGAAAACTTTACTTTTAACAAACAGGTATGCAGTTTGTTTCACAACATCCCATAATGGTGCTAGGGATTAATTATTGTAATCACACTGTAATTGACAGCAGCAAAAAATGATCTGGGTATAAGCTATTTCATACAAGCAGCTCCTGATAAAACCAGCCACAAGCACTCAAGCATTAGCTGAATATTTTTCATTGAACAGAGAGGATTACAGCTCATCAAATACTTGGTTACTACATGAAATTTTTCCTTCCACTTTATTTAGTAAGTAGGTTACTGAAGGCATTTCTGTATTACCTATTTGAATCACCCCAATTTCTAACATCTTTTTTTCTCTTGGGTTGGGTAATGACAATGCCAGTAAAGTGCTACTTTGATTGCCAGGGTCAGTGCTGCCTGATTGATTACCTGACACCAAGTGCTTCTAGAACAAAAGTACTGAAATGTGCAGAAGACTTCAGATGTCTTTGGCAGTATCTCTGCTCTGATACATGCTGATGAAAAGTCTTGATGAGTTTAAGGTTATGCTGACACAAACTACCCCCAGCTGCTGTTCTGCTAGCCTTGAAGATTTGTACTAATTTCTTCTAAGCAAAGTGGTGTGCCTTTAAAGACAGAGAAATTAGCTCAGACTTTTGTTCTGTTCTAAATATAAAATTATGAAAGTATACACACACTAAAATAAGGCTAAAAATATTTTTGGTCAATATACTGTGAGAGGCACAAGAGTAAAAATGAAGTAATTGATATGATTAATTATTGAGTGCAGCCCTTTATAATATCTGCTTGTGATTTTTTGCCTCATTTAAACATCTAAGATGATGGGTAGCAATTGATACCTTTTGGTGCTAACCTATATGTTCTGGTGCTGAAGTTATACATGATTTTTGTGTGAGATCAGGTTTACTTCCAATATTACCATATACACTCCAGTGTTTGTGAGATCTTTTTCAGCTAAGCATATAATTTACTACCACTAGGCCAGATTTGCTTTCAAAGTTCCTTTTTATGGTTGTTTCAGGCTCTAATGAGAGTTTTATGTGCATCATAGAGGAAAATGTATTCCTGTTCAAAACCAAAACAAACAGCACCCTCCCCTCATCACAACAGTGAAGTGCTTGTGGAATAGATTATGGGGAGAGTAAGGTCTCTTGACCGTCATGACTTCAGATTGATGCTGAGCAGGTTTTAGTGATCCCAAATCCTCTCTCTGGGGCAACAAATGACTTCAGAAAATCTAGACTTGACCTTGCACACTTATCCTTGGGAAGCTACGTGTTCCTCTTCTCTGAGCTCAGTTTGTTCCCCTGTGAATTCAAGATGAGTTGGATCAGGCCTCAGTGAAAATCATGGGACATTTAACACAACTTTTGTGGGAGTAAGAAAGTTGGATTCTATGAGAGCATTACAGACAGCAAAATTAGACTTCATGTGCTATCCCTTACCAACACTGAGAAATGCCATGGGACTCTGAAAGAGGAAACCTCCCAGAGCAAATGTGTTCTATACCACAGCTGGGACCTAACAGAAAGAAATATATCTGTATCTATATCCATATCTATGTCTATAGATAGATGGATAGATAGGTATATAGATATATCTGTTTATATATGATCTTCAAGGATCAGGTTGCAAGCATGGATGCCCTCTTGTGGTTGAGAATGCCAATATATTTGTTTGATTTCATAGGAATCCAAAAGGTTTTAGGATTTTTTAAAAACAAGCATGTGCAAATTTAGTTTGTTTCCTTTAAAATTTTTGGCCTTGATTTTAATGACACATGACTTTTTGTCAGTTTTCTTTGAGAAATGAGGCCCATTGCATAACTCCACCATTTCTTAGTTTTATGCGATTTGTAAGTACAGAACTCAATCACAATTGTATTGGCTGTCAGTTACCTATCATACAAAGTTCTGTGAGTATGAGATAAAACAGAGCTATTCAGATGTCAGAAAAATGTTTAGAGGCGTTAAATCAGGTATAGTGATTAAAAAGCAGGGGGTGGGAAGCCTCATTACTCAGATACTAAATTCTAATGATCTCTAATAAAATAAGAGTTTTAAAGGCCCAAATTGCTCTTGAAATTTGCCCATTATTGCTAAGTTTTCAAGACAAAACTGTTGCTTTCCTCATCTAGAATGAAATGATCTGATAGAATCCAAGCACACAGCATTTTTATGGTGCTTTTTAAAACTGTGCAAAATAGAAAATTTGTATGCTCTGGTTGTCAGATCGTAATTGGTCTGATGGTCTCAAGATGCACAAGCCTTCCCATTTGGATTCATAAGGATAATATTAAACTTCTGTCAATAGTAACCTGAAATAATCACAGCCTTCTCAAACTGCTTTCTTTCAATAGAAAATAAATTGAAAATCAAGAAAAAAGATAGCAACAATCGATCTGGTTAATACAACAGATGGGCAACAGCCCTTCTGGTTAATTCAAGAAAAGAAAAAAACAAATCATTACTAATGATAATTTGAATACTTTCTTGCTGCTTAACCTTCATTTACCAAGTTTCCCTCAGGATATAGTTATTTTCTGTTAGAGAAGAAGCTTTTGCTCATATTACAATGCAATGCATTTTTAAATTCACACAAGTTAATGGAACAGACATAAACTTTTAATAGATAACCTCACTCTGCTGAGCTCCCCTGAGTGTGAAGTGTGAGAAAAACAGACTGAAATTGTTGCAATTATTATTATCTCCTCATCTTTTTTCCAGAAAACAAGATTCAGAGTGGAAAAAGGTTTTATGATTCCTCCAGCTTTTGGCACCTTATCATTTGGCAATCAGGCTGTAAATTCTTTAAAAATCCCTTATACTGATAATGCATATAAATTATGCTTGGGGTTTTTTTGGC